GACTGTCTGATGGAGCCAGAGGAGGTGCCGGTAACTGGACTATAACAAAGGCTCGCTGATGTAAACAGAAGCACTTACATTTAAAAATACAGAATAATATACGGTTTAAAAACGGTGTGATGTAAGCTGTTATACTTTAATAAAAGCAATACATGCTGGACTGCAGAAATAAACAATCTTTTATACACTCTAGCCTGAATATGAGCACAAATAATATATTCTCTTATTGTTATATTTGTTGTTGGCATTTGTTATCTTCATAGGGGTAGAAATAACACTTGTAAAATATGAACAATAACATATAAACAACACGTACATTTTTAGAAAGGTTTTTTATTTTTAATTAGCCATCAACAGAACCCAAAATATAGCCTACACACCATAACGATTTACCATGCGGGAACAATCGTGAGTTTAGAAGATAAATACAGCAAGATTTCTAAATATCAACAGGATATTTACACATTCCAAACCTGCAATTGGTCAATTTGTGCAAAAAAAAACTTTGCACTATTAATACAATGTCCATCTGCTGCAACGCTAGTATATATTGTTTATTGATTTTGGCTGGAATTGTTTATTTATTTAATTTTGTTGCCTTTATTTGTTTTCATTTGGTTTATTCGATGCCTTCATTATATCTGGCAACGAGGAATTTTCATTCATTTTAATGTTAGTTGGAGTTTTCAAATAAAACGCCAACAGTAAATGATAAAAATAAATAATATCTAACATTACAGCTCTATTAGGTTATATAAGATTCGGTTTCAAGAACCTTATAATGTTTTGTAACAGCAAATTCAGTAGATTACTTAATAACATGCCAAAACTTAAAATGCAGAGACATCCTGTAAAGCAAGTTCAAATAACCTTACAGAAGATCAACGTGGAGATTATTATTTTAGACACATAAAGAGAATTACTGCCAACGATCTCCTGTATTTTCCCTGTACTTAAATTAGTTTATTTTATTGTGCAGTTTTATTGTCATTTTTTTATTTCTTAATTATTGTGCACTACAAAATTTATTCAATTGTATTATTATTTAATACTTGTGCAATCAATACAGGTTTATTGTTATTTATTTTGTCCTTTATTTAAATATTTGCGATGTATGCTGTTTGCATCTTTATTCAAAGGTTAAACTCAGTGATGCACTTTGCGTTTACATAGTAGCATGCGTTTGCTGTCATATCAACACAAATGGATGTAATAACTTTAACAAATGTGAGGGTTTTATATAATGAAGATTCAATTGCGGCAGCGCTGGGCCGCAGCGCATAACCTACTCGCGGCGTCGCGGGCTGATTCCGGCTCGCATGCGGCAGCGCCGGCTCGATTGGCCGCATCTGGCTCGATTGACTCGGGCTGGAATCGGGCAGTGAGTCCAGGCATCCGGAGTAAGTCCAGCAGAGTTAGTCAGTCTGCGGGGTAAGTCTCCGGCAGGCGAGAATCTAGCCGGAACTGGCCCGAGTGTATTTTGCTATCTGGGTGGCTAGGCGTGTATCAGCAAACTAATAAAGCCCGAAAAAAGCCCTGACTTTAGCGAATAAACAGTGTTCCACCAGGATCATATATGTCAGAAACTATAGTTTACTGCTGAACTCATTTTGTCATGGTAAAATAACACAGAAATCGAATAATAACACTTCAGTCTCCTGCCGAAGCTCAGACGCGCTGCTTTGAGAAACTGTCAATCACCGCTGTCAATCACGATGACACGCCCAGCGTTAAATTACTGCTAAAAACAAACTTTTTACAAAAATGAAGATCTGCACCTATTTCAGCACAATAACCAGTGCCTTAATCGACCAGAACCATCTTTCGGGACATTTTATTGCAAGTGTAATTAATTCTTTTTAATTAATTAAGTCTCCTTCATTAACACGGAGGAGGCGGGCTTTATGACTTGTACTGCAGCCAGCCCCCAGGGGGCGATCTAACGGCCGAGACCTTCACTCAAACGCAGGCTTGCGGCACACTTGGTTTCAAAACGCTGTGTTTACTGATTATTTATATTAACCCTCATTTGTGTTATAAACAAACAAGTTGAGAATCAAAAGAAAGATTAACCATTAATGTGACAGTGCGGAATATTCCTGCTGCCGCCTGTTTTATCATTAAACAAATCAACTTATCAACTTATTTCTAAACATAATAGTTTTAATAACTCATTTCTAATTACTGATTTATTTTATCTTTGCTATGATGACAGTACATAATATTTTACTAGATATTTTTCAAAATACAAGCATTCAGATTCAAAGTGTGATTCAAAGGCATAATTAGGGTAATTAGGCAAGTCATTGTAAAGCAGTAGTTTCTTCTGCAGACAATCAAAAATATATTGCTTAAGGGGGCTAATAACACTGACCTTAAAATGGGTTTCAAAATATTTAACCCTGCTTTTATTCTAGCCAAAATAAAACAAATAAGCCTTTCTCCAGAAGAAAAAATGTTAGAGGAAATACTGTTAAAATTCCTTAAGCGCTAATAATTTTGACTTCAACTGATAATTGTTTTGAATAATCGTGGTTAAAATTATGACCAAAATAATCGTGATTATGATTTTCCCCCAAATCGAGCAGCCCTAGGGTGAGTTAATTATGTTGTGAAATATCCGTGACAGAAGTTCACTCAAAAGTGAAAATTCTTTCTGTCATTAATTACTAACACTCCCATCAATCCAACCCTCAGAACTAACATTTAGAGATTTTATAAGGAAAAGCAATTAAATTACGAAAATTGTGAAATTAAAGCAATAGCCCAGAGATCTGGTCCCCGCGTCAGGTCAGGTGCGCCCGTATATAGCCTTTAAAGTGCACACGCGGCGGTGGAGGCGCACTCTACTCACACTGGAGAAAACTGGACTAGTGGATGGCATGAAGGTCCAGCCGCCTAATTCATTACATGTTTTAGTTAACTAATTCTTTGAATACAACTCTCTTTAGAGCCCTAAAAGGAAAAAACGCAGAAGAAATTTGCAGTTAAACTAATTTTAGCAGTGATGCAACCGCCAGTCATTTTCACATTAGTTTTTCAGTTAGGATTAATATTAGAGTAGCCCAATAAAAGTTTATTTGGACACTGCACAGTCCTACAGTAGTCTACACTATACCTAATATTATAACTTAATATATTTATTATTATCATTAATATTATTAAAACTACACGCTATAAAATTGACGAAATGCAGAACTCTTAAAAATATCTGATATTGGTGTGGTAGAAAAGCGTGATGCGAGTCATGTATGATTTAATTACCGGTGATATGATAGTGAGTTTGCTTGCATGTCTGGGCATAGTTTGACGTCTTTACGAAAAACTTTAAACTTTTATCTTATTTATAATAAAACTGAAAGAAATAAGAAGAATAAAATATTATTTAAACCACTCGTTTGCTGCTGAATCCGTGTCTGCGTTACTAAACAGTATTGTTGCTAACCTTTATTAATAAAGTCAGATTAATAAAGTCAGTAATAGCGAAAGTGCATAGCCTATTATTATAACTATAAAAAGTATATTACTGGTCTATTAAGTCATTAACTTAGGCAGTAATACAAAGTCATAAATAAGTAAGTAAATAGCCTAAATGAAATTAACAAGAGGGACCAAAAATCAGTCACCATGCAGGTCAAGTGCAATGGGATAAAAATGCCCCCTCAGTTATGACATCCTGCCGCCTGGCCTGCTATAGTGATACATTATTGTTTGTTGCAAGAAGAGACACAAGCGGACACTGTGGATGAAAACCTGACTGGGGAAATGGTGATAACATGGATTATCTGTTCTTCAATGAGAAAAGATCACAGACCCGACAACGTGACGGTGTTTATCATACAACACAGTGTGTGCTGATGATCATTAATATTAACAACTATTATTAATAATAACTCCTCTCGCTTTATACTTTACGTTTTAGAGCTTGTTCTTGTTGGCGGTTCATTGCATGTACAAATCAGATTATTAAGAATAACTAGGATCATGTTTTTCCTTTATTGCATCCTTTCCGAAGGGTTTTTTATTTATTTATTTATTTATTTATTTATTAAAGTGGTGAGGACATATTCACTGGCAAAATGTTCCTCCCGTAATTACGCCTCTGTACCCAAGTAGCTAACCTAAGTTAATTTACATTTTATGTTAAAATTAAGTAATAACAAAGACCAAGGAATTATGCTAAAATATTTGTACAAACCTGCGTTTGTGTTTTTAAACATTCATTAATGAAACAACACAATGCAGCCTATAATAATGTTGTTAATTATTACATAACTTTAACTGCTTGAAACAGTATAATAATAATTAATCATTACATTTTTAAGAACTTCACAAATAGCCTTAATGACACTTTACTAATCAGTAATAATATAAATAGTAGCTAATAATAATAAGAAGAAGAACGAAAATATTGGCCTAGTAACAAGTCAGAATAAAAAATTGCGTAGGCTACTAACTCTGCGCCTTTTGTTTTCTATTCATATTTGAAATTCTTTGACAGAAAAAACCAACATGTTGACTTTGTCCGGTTTAAGCGAAAACCTAATTGGGGTTGCAATATTTCCAGCAGCAATAAATACACATTCAGACTGTGTTCTTGTAGCGCAAATGCACCGATACTTTTTCGCAACTGTGGTCAAGAGGGTATCTTGCTTTATTGTTCCACCGTCCGTATTTCTCGAAAAACAGGTTTCTGCGGAGCAGCGCGTTCTCAACTATCAAATATGTTGTTTTATTTCTTTTAAATGTCTTCCATTTATCACTTTCTCTTTTGTATTTGGCCATTTTTGAAAAGGCCTCTGTGATACCTGGTTGACTAGCTGGGCGTTTGCGTTCAGAAGACAGGAGTTGATAAGTGGCTGGGTGACATGACCGTAGATGGCTCTGGAGATTGATGTGTTTGCCTATGTAACACATTTTTATAAACAAACCCTACAAATAGCTTCATTCAAATGTATTGGTTCACTATTCTCGTTCGCCATGTGTGATATATTGATGTTTGCATTTTTGTATTTAAAACAATAGGGACTCCGTAGTACGGATGTAGTTGATATAGTTCTGGCAGTTACGGATGAAAGCAGAAAGTAAAGCTGTTGCTTAATACGGACGCTCCGACTCAAGTGTATCTTTTACAGTCAGGTATATCACAGTAAAAGTTGGCGACGAGGATGGGATAAACTAATGCTCGGATGATGGCACTCATTGGAAGTATAGGTGAATTTGCTCCGAAAGCAGAATCTTGGTCGGCCTACATTGAACGGCTGGAACAGTTCTTTGTGGCGAATGAGATAAGCCAGGAGAAGCAGGTTGCAACACTCTTGAGCGTGATGGGGGCAACAACCTATGGTTTACTGAGGAACTTGGTACAACCAGAAAAGCCAAAGGATAAGTCGTACAAAGAAATTGTCGACACCTTAAAGAGTCATTTTGAACCAAAGCCGTTACTGATTGCCGAAAGATTTCGTTTTAATCATTGCAATCAAAGAGCCGATGAAACAGTTACGGAATATGCAGCGGAGCTGAAACAGTGTGCTGTGAGTTGTGAGTTCGGGGCAACGCTGGATGAAGCATTGCGTGATCGATTCGTGAGTGGAATCCGCAACGAAGCCTGCCAGCGACGGCTGTTGTCAGAATCTAATCTGACGTTTGCACGAGCGTTCGAAATCGCATTAAGCATGGAGACAGCTGAGAAAGACACGCAGCAGTTGCGAGGGCATGACTCGCACTCGAGTGTAATACATAAGGTGGAAGTGCGACCTTTCAGTCAACGAGAGAAAAAGTGCTATAGATGTCATGGGAAAAATCATAGCGCTCAGGTATGTCATTTTAAGGATGCAAGGTGCCATAACTGCGGAAAAATTGGGCACATTAAGAGAGCATGCAGAGGAAAGATGGAAGTTGGAAAAAGGAAATTGTATGCAGAGAAGAATACTAAATATGTGGAGGCAGAGGAAGCTGAATTACCCATGTTTTCACTACGGGCTGAGGAAAATAGCAAAAAGTCATTCACAGAGACGTTTGATGTAAATGGCAAGGAAATTATGATGGAAATTGATACTGGCGCGGCCGTGAGTATCATATCTGAGAAAGAATTTAAGGCGGTATTCCCAACTGAGCCACTAGAGGTCGCCAGAGTCAAGCTAAAAACTTATACAGGTGAGCTTTTGCCTGTATTAGGACAGTTTGAAGCAAAAGTGAGCTATGATGGGCAAACTGAAGTGCTAAGTTTGATTGTGGTGAAAGGAGAGGGGCCTTCGTTGTGTGGCAGGAATTGGCTGCAAAAACTCTCATTGAATTGGAGGAAAATTAAGCATGTCAGTCAAGTGCAACAAGTCACGTCTATTGAAGAGGTGCTGGAGTCATGCTCTGAGGTGTTTAAAGAGGAATTGGGCACACTCAGAGGGCTTAAGGCAAAAATACGAGTTAATCCTGAAATTTCTCCACGTTTTTGTAAAGCTCGTCCACTGCCTTTTTCAATGAAAGCTCAAGTTGATGCAGAATTAGACCGGTTGGAGAAGGCTGGCATAATCACGCCTGTTAAATACAGTGAATGGGCAGCACCCATTGTGCCAGTGGTAAAAAAAGACAAGACTCTAAGATTGTGTGGAGACTACAAATTAACTGTGAATCAAGCAGTCACTACAGAAATTTATCCACTACCGCGGATTGAGGAGTTGATGGCTACACTGAGTGGAGGTACCATATTTTCCAAGATTGACCTGGCTTCCGCGTATCAGCAGGTCCTTCTTGAAGATGAGTCCAAAGAGTTGCTAACCATCAACACGCACCGAGGATTATTTGTCTATAATAGACTTCCTTTCGGTGTCAGTTCAGCGCCCTCTATTTTTCAAAGAATTATGGAGAATCTCATGAGAGATCTTGATGTTATTGTTTACCTTGATGACCTATTGGTCACTGGAAAAACAGAGCAGGAACACCTGCAGAGACTACAGGCGGTGCTGAAAAGACTCCAGGAGAACGGTTTGAGGGTAAAAAAATCTAAATGTGAATTTGGAAAAAGCCAAATTGAGTATTTAGGATTTGTGCTAAACAGCCAGGGCCTTCATCCATCCCCAGACAAAGTGGATGCAGTCAAGAATGCACCAGTACCTACCTGCGTGAAGGAGCTGAAAGCTTTTTTGGGGTTGGTCAATTACTATGGCCGTTTTTTGCCCAACCAGAGTACTATGGCTGCCCCGCTCTACAGACTGCTGAGAGATAACGTGCCATGGGAATGGAAACAGTCTGAGCAAGAAGCTTTTGAAAAATGTAAAGATTTGCTGACAAACGAAAAGGTTTTAATTCACTATGATCCTGGTCTACCACTTACCTTAGCTTGTGATTCTTCTGCCTATGGGATCGGCGCTGTGTTGCAACACACCATGCCCACCGGAGAAGAACGTCCCATTGCTTACGCCTCGCGGACACTGTCACCTGCTGAAAAAAAGTATTCGCAGATTGAAAAGGAGGGGTTGTCGTTGATCTTTGGAATAAAAAAATTTCACCAGTACCTTTGGGGAAGAAAGTTCAAGATGGTAACTGACCATAAACCTTTGTTGACTTTGTTTGGAGAGCACAAAAGTCTACCCACCATGGCAGCAGCCAGAATTCAAAGGTGGGCAATCATTCTGTCCGCTTACGATTACCACATTGAGTACTGTCCCTCAGAGAAAAACAGTAATGCAGATGGCCTTTCACGTGTTCCCTTACCGGTGATGACTGATGGGGGCACAGCTGCCCTATCAGAGCATATTCATGCACTAATAGCGGAGCACTTCGAACAAGCTCCTTTGAAGGCAGAACATGTGTCTCGTGTAACACGCAGAGACAAGGTGTTATCCAAGGTGCTTAAATATGTCATGGAAGGTTGGCCAATGAATGTGGATGAAAATCTAAAGGCCTATCACTTGCGGAGGTTAGAACTGTCGGCAGAGAGAGGATGTGTACTTTGGGGCACCAGAGTTATAATTCCTGAAAAACTGAGAAAAATTGTGCTGAAAGAGTTGCATGTCGGCCATCAAGGGATGGTAAAGATGAAGGCACTTGCCCGCAAGTATGTGTGGTGGCCTAAAATGGATGCAGAACTGGAACAGGTTTGTAGAACCTGTGAGCCATGTCAGATGGAACAAAAGGCACCCCGCCAGGTTCCTTTACACCCCTGGGAATTTCCTGGTCAGAGCTGGAAGAGATTACACATAGACTTTGCTGGTCCTTTCTTAGGACACACATTTATGATTATTGTGGATGCATATTCAAAGTGGCTGGAGGTATTTAGAATGCCTAACCTTACTTCACAATCCACCATTTCAAGGCTGAGAAGGCTGTTTGCAGCATACGGACTTCCGGAACACATAGTCACAGACAATGGAACACAATTCACTTCGGAAGAGTTTAAAAATTTTATGCAGCAAAATGGCATTCTTCATTCCACAAGTGCCCCAGGTCATCCCGCTACCAATGGCCTTGCAGAAAGGTATGTGCAGACATTTAAAGGGGGAATAAAGAAACTTGCACACGTGACAATGGACTTGGAGGATAAGATCTCACTGTTTTTAATGCAGTATCGCACTACTCCGAACTGCACTACAGGGCAATCACCAGCCGATCTTTTCCTTAACAGACATGTGCGCACTCGGCTGGACTTTGTTCACCCAGATGTCACTGTTGCTGTTCGCAGGAAACAGTACCTACAAAAGTTCCATCATGACAAAAGGTCTGTGGAGAGATCATTCTCTGAGAAGGATGCGGTTTACCTTCGTAATACCACAGGAAAAGGGAACAAATGGGTTCCTGGAGTGATAGTAAAGCAAACCGGTCCTGTGTCTTATAACGTTCAGGGACAAGACACAGATGGCACTTTCAGGAGACATTGTGATCAGTTAAAACCACAGGTTGTAGTGGATGATCCTGTTGAACAGATGGACTGCTCTGAGACTGGGACTGAAACTTCCGTTAGACCCTGTGCATCAGAAGAGGAGGAACCGGTCATTTCAGAGACTTCTGAAAAGGACAGTGTAGGAAATACAAGCATGGCACAGGGTCTACGTCGCTCATCTAGAATTAGAAAGACACCAAAACGCTATGACCCATAATGCTTAGGAATTACAACTGTGCAAATGCAACCAAGTTTAAAATTTGCAATGGTCTCGTAATATACTAGGTTTAGTATTTTTTTTTTTCTCTCTGCTGTTGTGTTAATGCAAGAAGAATTTAACAGCTACTGTTAGTTTTGATAGTAATGTTGTTGCATGTGCAGTTTTTTTTTTTTATGTGAAGGTAACAGTAAATGTACTGTGTTTAAAAAGGGGGGTAATGTGATATATTGATGTTTGCATTTTTGTATTTAAAACAATAGGGACTCCGTAGTACGGATGTAGTTGATATAGTTCTGGCAGTTACGGATGAAAGCAGAAAGTAAAGCTGTTGCTTAATACGGACGCTCCGACTCAAGTGTATCTTTTACAGTCAGGTATATCACACCATGAATCCAAAATGTTCCCATATTGGCGATGTTACATTTAGTTTTCCAACAAGATTCCTGGCTAAATTTGAAACTGCTGAATTGCGCCTAACTTTATATTCTAACAGAAATGTAATACTTGCCAACACAACGTAAATGTGTGTTTTAGAATTACAGACTACCACCCCGGTGGAATGGGCAACCGCGCTGGCAATAGTTGTCACGGTGACCTTTACAGCCCTAAGAGAGCATGCGTCTGATTCCTGTGAGACTCCAGGGACATACAAGTCTTTGCTGATGTCCATCGTTCTCCAGCATCCGGCGCCAAGACTGCAGCTCTGCTCAAGACGTTTGGCCATAGGAAAAATGTTTGTGCCAAACTGAGCCTAGTGTTTCTCGAGGTTTTATCCTTCACTTTCACCCATTGGTGAAGTTTTTTCCTCGCCTTTGGACTCTCAGTAGTGATTATTAAACCGCACTGAACTGAGCTAAACTGAACTGAACTTAAACTCTGAAAACTGAACTACACTGTTTCAATTTACTATATTCTTCTATGTGAAGCTGCTATGTGACGCAATCTACACTGAAAAAGCGCTATAGAAATAAAGATGAATTGAATAATTTGTAAAGCACCTTGGAGTATTTTTAAAGGTAAACTTTAAAGTTCTAAAAAAAAGTTCCGCTTTGGCTACAACTTAACAATAACTTTCTTTTTTTCTGTCGACTATTTCAGAGAAAACAGCTACATAACCATCTCCAGCAATGCTCAGAAGTTGATGTTTGCCTCAAACTACTTCTTGAACATTTCATACCTAGGAGTTCAAAGTGGAACGGTAAAAAAAACAAACACACACACACAGACTCACTGTCATACTCACATCACACACTCATACACACATCCTTACATTCTCACATACCCTCACAAACACATCATTACAAACAAATCCACACACACACTCTCACACATGCTTTCTTACATTCTCACACCCAGGCCCACAAATAAATCCTCACACTCACATCCACACACTCACAAGCATTCTCACATACACACACATTGCACAAAAACATCCTCACACTTACACACACTCTCTTGAATGCATTCTCATATTCATGCACTCTCAAACATATACACACTTGTGCATTCTCACACACATTCATACAACAATCTTCTCAGTCTCTCTCACACACAACATCCTCTCACAGAGGTTTTTCCTGTAAACATCCACCACAAGCTTGTCCTGTTAAGCTGCGGTCACACTGGACTTTTCTCAACATAGATTTCCATTCATATACACGTGAATGCTTCAGACTGGAAATGCAGGCTTGTGTGACAAGTTTCGCAGTTCGCTGTGTCGCAAAGTTCAAGCTTGGTGAACTCTGACCTGCAAAATTGCCTCACATGACTGCGTGAGACCAATCAAAGATCAAAACATGACCGTTCAGGACAGAATTTAAAAATATGGACCAATCGCTTGCTTTTTTAAATTAAGACAGAAATTAAGACATTTTTTAAAGATAGAATTTCGCAAGCTCAAACTCTAGAGTGACCGCAGCTTTACTCTGCTTTTATTTAAAACATTTTAGAGCATGATGTAGTCCATGTTTTATTACTAAGGATTGTTTTCCATTCAACAGGTTTCTTTTAAAAAGGAATCCAGAGAAGGATCAGAAGTGAAGAACAGGAGAACCCAAAGAAGGATCGAAAGTGGAGAAGACCAGATCAAGAAAGACCACATTGAGATCTGCGGTCAGTCCAAAGGCTCTTTCACTAATTAACAAGATTTCCGACTATGAATAGATGGAGAAATGCATTGCCTTACAGAAAATCTTGCCAGTGTCACAGACTGAAATGATCCTTCCTGGAATGAAATTCCTTTCGCGATTTAATTCTTTGTATCCCTCATCTGTTGTCAAGATGAACATGTTCACACTGGTTCAGTTTTAAGGACAATATCATTATTAATTGTAATTTGTTAACCAAACTGCTGTATTGTTACAGTATTTAACAATTACTTTTATTGTGTTTGGATTCTTTTCACATTTTCGGGTTTCTAGTCGTCATAGTTGAGCAGTTAATGGACGAGTCCCACAAATAACATTTTATTTGCATTTCAATTGACTCAAATAACAAAAGAAAAAATCCCTGAAAGTGTTTTCATGACTTATAAAAGGGGGGAAATAGTGTTAGAAAGGTAACTGCAGCCAGAAGAGAGAACAATAACAAATTTAGAAAAATAGCTTTAGAAATCTACATACATTCATTTTATTTTCGGCTTAGTCCCTTTAATAATCAGGGGTCGCCATAGCAGAATGAATCGCCAACTTATCCAGCATACGTTTTAAACAGCAGATGCCTTTCAGTTGCAACCCAACTTTGGGAAACCCCCACACACTCTTGCATTCACACACATACACTATGGCCATTTTAGCTTATTCAGTTCACCTATACCATGTCTTTGGACTTGTGGGGGAAACCAGAGCACCCGGAGGAAACCCGCATGAACACTGGGAGAACATGCAAACTCCACACAGAAATGCCAACTGACCCAGCCGGTGCTCGAACCAGCGACCTTCTTGCTGTGAGGCAATTGTGCTACCCACTGCACCACTGTGCTGCCCCTTTTTAAAACAATATAAATATTAAAAACTTTCAAAGGATGTAAGATGCTGATTAATATTGAAATGAGTCAAACGTCTCGTGAACGGGGTCTATTATGACGGCTACAATTTTTTTATATTGTGGCAGTTATAAACAAACTGAAGTCTATGTTGTTGCAGCAGTTAAATTTTGGAGATTTTTCTATTTAAATGTTGTTGCAGTCATGCTTAATTCTGGTGAATAAATGATTAAAATACTGTTTTGCATTTATGACTGATTTGTTTACAGTGTAAAATATTATAACCAAATGCAAAATGTACACAATAACTACATGTATTCTGCAGCCTTTGACACATTATTTTGATTAACATTAGTTTCTTTCTGTTTAACAGGCTGACATACTGCTAGTCTGAATTGTTAACTGCATCTTTGTGTAAATTGTGTATCTAATTATCAAATCAAATGATCAGTTTTTTAATTATGCCCAGTGATGGAACCTTTTAAAGCTATAGGTGAAACTGAAATGGTGAATTGACATGTTTCTTGATGTTTTAATTTTTAATGGACAACAAAACTATTTTCTTGACACTCAAAGAACTGTTTAGTTAAATACACAAACACATTTTAAGATCATTATAACATTTGAAGATCAATAAATGCACAAATATTTTTTCAATATTCAATTTATTGATGCACAAAGGAAGATTTGTAGCAGTTCTGTAAACTCAAAAACAGACTGCAGAGGGGAATCTTGACAGCAGAAGTGGGTTACTTTTTGCTGGCTGAGCCCTCTTCATCCTGACATCCTCATCCTCAAGTGGACACTGAAAAAACATGAGAACTTTAATCACAACACCACAGACACATGGGTTAGTTTCAGAACAGGCATATTAGTGAACAGAGGGACACGTACAGACTCACGCTTGTTCACTAGTCGACTTGTAAAGCCTGGCAGTCTGGGTAAGGAAAGTTGAGGCTTCCCTTTCAGATCAGACGAACATGAAGGGAGTTCATCGAAAGGCTTTACAGAAACACAGCTTGGCTTCAATACAGACAAGCGTGTGGGAGCAGCAACATGATGCTGGCGGAGAGGTGTAGGTTTGACCATCCTCACTGCTGGACTCCCAGAATGTGCCAGAGGAGATGAAGAGTGGTCAACACCGGCGTTCAGGTCAGACAGAGGGAAGCTGATGTTTTTCAGTGAAACTTCCGTCTTGTGTTTAGGAGAGCTCATGCTGCGTTCTGGAGGTCCGTTTGTGAAGCTCTGCTTGTTGACAGGCTTCACATGAACTCGGTGTGGCTCCAGAAGAGGCAGGTTTGAGCACACAGCAGCTGACTGCCGGTGGAGAGGCAAGCGTTCATCCATCCTTACTGCTCTACTTCCAGATGGAGGCAGAACAGATGAGGGCCGGTCAACGCTGTCATTCAGATCAGACACACATGCAGGGTAGCTGATGTTTTTCACTGAAACCTTCACCAGATGTTTTGGAGGTCCATCTGTGAAGCTCTGCTGGTTGACAGGCTTCACATGATACTTGGACTCCAAAACAGGCAGGTTTGACAGCACAGCAACAGACTGCTGGCGGTGAGGCGTATGTGTGTCCATCCTCACTGCTGGACTCCCAGAATTAGGAGAATGGTCAACACTAGTCAGGTCAGACGGGTAGCAGATGTCTTTCACTGAAACCTTCATCTGAGGTCTAGGAGCGCTCACTGCTCTAGCTTTCAGATGTTCATCTGTGAAGATCTGCTTTTTGACACTCTTCACAGGAACAGTTTTTGGCTTCAGAGCAGGCAGGATTGAGCGCCTGGCAATCAGTTGCCGACAGAGAGGAGTAAGCTGGTCAATCCTCAGTGTTCGACTCCCAGAACGAAGCAGAACAGAGGAGGAAGGCTCAACACTGGCATTTAGGCCAGACTCAGAGGAACCACAGCTGATGTTTTTCGCTGAAACCTCCATATTTGTAGCAGAGTTCGCTCCCCGATGTTCTGGGGGGTGTGGCAGAACCTGACTAGAACTTTTTTGGTTTTTGAACCACATATTGACAAACTAGAGTGAAGATTTTGTCGCAACAAAAGTAGATTGAACGTGCCGTAAGCAGCGATCACGAGTGAAATGCGGTGAAACTCTCGTTCTGATGATGATGTAAATGTTCTTTTAGAATGTTCGCGTCATTTCAAGCTCGTGACGTTCTTTCAGACATCATCTTAAATCTCATTAAGTATATTTAATAATATATAAGTATTTAAATACACTCTGAACGCATATTTTGCACCACAGTTTTAATACTGCAGTTAGATATGGATCTGACTCGCATAAGTGAGGTTGTGGCTCCCTCTAGAGGTAGAAATCGACTTTTGCTAGCTCTGATAAGGTTACGGCTGGAATTAAATCACTTATAACATTTTCTATTTATATTTTTAGCGTCTTCTCCCACCCCAACCTTAAAACCAACCGTCACAGTACTGTAAAAATGAACTATTGTAATTCAGTGTCACAAAAATGATGCTATATTGACGTGTATATTTGCAGCTGT